CAGAATCGGTCATAGGAGACGTGCGCTTCCGGGTTTTTTACAACTGTGGTTGTCGGAAGAGTATTGGTAAGACCTAACGGACGACACATCTGGCGGGCCCACACTATAAAATCATAGGTCTCACTCGAACCGGCGCGGGTTGCGTTGTCAAGGACGCAGGACAACAAATGAAAGACAATATGTAACGAGAATACGAATCACACCTACTCAACACTCAAAATCAACACAACGGCATTCCAAAATATGACCGCTATCAGTAGATTATTTCCTGATAGCATTCAATGACTCAGTGGATATAATCTGGATGTAATCACTTACTCATATGAAGAAATTCCCAATGCAAAATAGTAACAAACCTATGCGAAATAAAAAAAAGAAATAAAGTTATAGGGGCTATCCATTAATTCTAAATAAATTTGGAACTCGCATATATGAAGCCTAAAATTGTAATTGTCGAAATCATTAAAATGTAATAAAATATAAAAAAAAATTATAAAATATATATGAAGCCTAAAATTGTAATTGTCCAAATCATTAAAATGTAATAAAAATATCTGTCAAACTATAAGTAGCACCCTATAACTTCTCCAGCACTCTTGTTCGAATTGTGAAATGTCTTTACTTAGCTAAAATAGAATATGCGTTCCCATAAATGGCAAGGCACCAAAGTCGACTTTGAGGCCAATCCAAAGAATGTAACTCGGCACTACGATCCGCAGTAGGAGCACTTCTTAACACAATTTATACGTGGTGTCAAATATTTTACCATTGAGAAAATGAATTCAATACACGAAAGCCAAACATTAAGGCACAACACACACTTAATTAAAAAGACACTTAAAACCCGAAATCATAGATACGGAACTGACTAAATATAGAATTAAGATCTCCAAGAGAAAGTTTCATAAACAGATTTCAGAAAGTTATACACAATTTGAGCATTAACACCTTTCTATACACAGATGGCTCACAGAAAATAATAGGGTAATAGCTGAGTGGTCCGTGCTAAGAATGGGAGTTCTTTCAGAGTACTCCTCGTTTCACGCAGACGAAGCGACATCCCTCTTAATGCAATTGAAATATTACTAAAATTTTGTATAAATGTATATAAGCTTCAAAAAAATTAGATAATACGAATCACCGGACATAATCTCGCCAATGAGACAGCAGAACATAGATCCCTTATTATTCACATTACCAAATACATACCAAGCAGACATAAATAATTTCTCCAACCAACATCGTACCCATGGCAATTCTGCAATAGCACGGATACATTGAACATATTTTAAACGAAACTGCCTTTAATAGCCTTTGAACTACAAATACCAATTTCAACAACCTGCTCATAAAAGCTTTTCTACCCTTTGTCAAAAAACATTGTGCCCTTTGTATTAAGTTATAATAATTATAGTAATATTAAAAAAAAAGCTTAGTTTTACAAATTAAGCACAGTGTACAATAATTAAATTTATTGTATATTAAGTGTAGAAACATTATATATAAAAACAAGGCTTGAGTCAAAGGCTCCAGCCAGTGCACGGTAAATTAAACATTGCATGTTAGGCCTTTTTTTTATAAAATACATGTTTATCCAAACTTTGTAACTTGTATAGTTTTCAGATATCTTTTTTTTTACGGACAGACAGGCAGCAAACAAACATAGACTCGGCTTGTAAAAAAAGTGGTAAAATGGGAGTCCACGTAGATTTCAAACAATTAACCGATAAGAAAAGTACGCAAACTTATTAAAAAACAAGATAGAATGCTATAGTCGAGTTCCTCGACTACAGATACCCGTTACTCAGCTACTGGAAGTGCTAACGAGAAATTTCAAAATTTTCTGGAATATCGGTAGAAATTGGGGAAAAACAAAATTAAAATTAACTTAAAAATTGGTGTGTGGGCGTGAGAGTTTTGTGCGATATGCGGGCGTTAGAGTGAGAGAGTAGAAATTTATAAAATATATAAACAAAAATCGCAACATTTTTCAAAAGTGTGGGCGTGACAGTTTTGGGCGGTTTGTGAGTGTGGCAACCTTTGGAAACAAATTTGCGCTGCGTTTAAGTCTCTGGAAGCTGCATGCTTAATCTCAGCATTCTAGCTTTTGAAGTTCCTGAGATCGAGGCGGACAGACGGACGGACAGAAGGATATAGCCAGATAGACTCGGCTATTGATCCTGATCAAGAATATATATACTTAATATGGTCGGAAACGAATCCTTCTGCCTGCTACATACTTTTTAACGAATCTAGTATACTTTTTTTTTAGTATTACCTTTCGCCAACGGGTATAATGAAACATAAGTGTGTTTGTGGGCGGAAGCTGCATGCTTTATCTAAGCTTTCAATCTTTTATAGTTCCCGAGATCGGGTCGTTCATACGGACAGACGGAAAGTTTGGTATTTTTCATAGAGTCGGAAAAGTTCAACTTTTCAACGAATCTATAATACGTTTTACTATACAACAAATGAGCATAAAAAACATATTGAAAGAGTCTTCTTTCATATACCAGCACAAACTAAAATAGAAAGACTGATAATTATTGGATTGATTCGAAATAATGTACGTATGAAAAGGGTAATTAATAAGAAACATGGAACAAATAGCTTTGAATTCGAATAAGATCGACGTCATACGCCAGAAGATCGATGTAGGGTAACACAGGAATGATCCGCGTGGGAGCGTGGGCGAAACGGTTTCAACGTAACTTGAATATAACAAATACCCCTGGAGTCGACGTAAAACAAGCTAGAAGCTATTATCGAGTTCCCCGACTATCAGATACCCGTTACTCAGCTAGTGAAAACGCTAACGAGAAATTTCAAAATTTTCTGGAATATCGGTAGAATTTGGAAAAAAATAATAAAATGAAAGGTAACTTAAAAATTTTTAAAAGTGTGGGCGTGAGAGTATTGATTGGTTTGTGTGCTTTAGATTGGGCGTGGCAAAAAGTTTTTTGGCAAATCTATAGAAATTTACAAAAAATATTCAAAAATGAAAAAGTATCACATTTTTCAAAAGTGTGACCGTGACAGTTTTGTGCGGTTTGTGGATGTGGCAACATTTGGATTTACGTCTTTTTAATTTTCATGCTCAATTTTAACATTCTAGATTTGATAATTCCCGAGATTACAGCGTTTATACATATGCACTATGGGAAATTTGACACTTTTTCTGGCCAACTTCAGAGCGGAGAGAGATATTTAGTTTGTGTTTTTTGTACAGGGTTGAGTTAGCCAACATATTTTAGTACAACAAAAATTATGGGCCCGTCACGGCCCCTTAATTTTTTTTTAGCTTATAACTCCACAACAAAAAAAGATATTTAGCTTATTTTTTGCATTGATTTACGCTAGACCATATCTATGCAAATCCCAAAAACTGTGTGCGTGGCACCGCCCCTTTTAGATATTTAATAAACTAATTTTCGTATAGCCATTCCTTTATTTTGTATGCTTTTTCTAGTCCAAGCTAAAAAAAAATTATTTAGTGATAGTGTTTGAATATTATATTATTTTATAATATATATAATATAAAAACAATAATAATAATAAAAACAATAGAACAATTCAGCAAATCGCCATGTTTAACTCTCTTTTAGCATGAGATTACTCTGAATTTGGATTAGTAGGGTTTAATTTAATAAAATATTTCCCAAAATCGTAACAAGTGTAATTTTTAATTACAATAATCTAAACAAGAATTAAAGAATTTAAACAATTTTGAAAGTTAAGTCATTATAGGTCTTTACCAAAAATATGCTTTTGGAAGGCAACATACATTTTTACTTAATTAACTATTATAACACGAGTATTTTTTTGATCTTGACAGTCATAAGCACCTCATAAAAGCCACACTGAATAAAATGTCTATTACAAAATTAAAATTAACGCTTTGGTTTTAAAGATATTGCAACTTATCTAACGGGGGAAAGCTTATTGTTGCATATAATAATTTTGTACGCGCATCAGCTGTTAAAGACAGAGCCATCTATTTTAACTTCTGGTATGCAACAATAAAAATTGAATTATTATGAATGCGTATATTAATATTCAGTCGTTCAGAAAATAGGTTTTGGCGAAAAAAAATGTGGTCAAATTTCACATTGTAAAGAAAAAAGGATATAACGCGATCGATGTGCTAGAAATATTTTTGCCACTCCCACTCATCGTCAATAAACCGCAAAAAGCGGTCAAACGCACATATTTGACAAACTGTTTTTTTTACTATTTTTCTAGCCAGTTTCTATCGGTTTGCCAACAAAATGTTGAATTTCCTTACTAGCAGTCCCACTTGTTAAGTAACGGGTATCTGATAGTCGAGAAATTCGACTATAGCGTCTTCTCTCGTTTTTGTTTAATATTTCCTCAATTGAGAGTTAGAGCATCACATCAAACGCAAATAAGTTATATTATTATATAGATCAACTAAGCTTATTATAGTTTTAGGTCTTGTTATGTAGCACTTCGTTGCAGCATTTTTTAAATATAAGCAACACTGGTAACAAATGCCTAGCTTTTTGATATTACCAAATTCGCAAGCTCCTCCGTTTTCAAAAGTTTTGTTTCGGTTTCGCTTTAATAAAGTTATAAATAACAAAGTTACAAAATTTATGTTTCTTTTTCGCTTTAATTACGCCACGTGTCTATTACGTTAACTACGTACAATTTAAGCAATTGAATATAATAAGCTAATTTAGTATATCATTTTAGATATTATATTTTTATTTTAATAAAATCAAAACATTTTAACAAAAACAGATTATAATTTTATAAGCAATACAAATTCTTAAAATATTCCTGAATAAGTATTTACTGCATGTGGTATAAATTATCGTATGTGGCAAGCTTCTATTTTTTAGATATTTTTTTATTGAAAATATACACTAATAAATATTAAATTGTTTTTTTTATTATAACTGAGCATAGAAATACATTTGTAACATAAATGCATATACACACATTTACAACATTATTAATACTATAATTTATTGCAGGTTGATCTAAGGCACATGGATGAACAACAGGGCAGCAACGTTGTTGCAGTGGGTGTGGACTTATCTGAATTTTATATGTCTGTGGAATGGGACATTCTCGAAGTTCCAGCTGTAAGGTAAATAACTTTAATAACTTAAATGTTGCCCGTTAATCGTACATTTATAAGGAGAATAGCATACCTCAAAGCATTTCGAAACCAATACTTTTACTTGTTTTATATTTTACTTGTACATTTGTGGTCCGGAATAGTATTCAGCTGTCTGTTTGTTCGAAGAGACTCATAATTTAGAGCTATAGATTAATATTGGATTTGGTATTTAATCTAAACAGCCAAAAATTACTATACTACTTCTACAGCCATAGAAAAAACAATTCTCAACGATCTCGATTTTAGTATTTTAGATCTCAAAATCTAGTCAAGATCATCGTATCATGCTCAGCATACTCAGGTCGGGATCAAACCATTTTCAGGCTGCAAATTAGTATTGATAATTATACTCAGTATACTGTATATACATATATACATACTTGTATACTCATACTAACCGATCTTGGTATCCAGAAGAATCAATCTTGAGAAGAACCCATCTCGATTTCGAGACGAACCGAATACCAATCAAAAATACAAATTATTTAAATGCATCTTATTTTATATAAATGTTACATTATTTTTGTATCTTACAATTTTTTACATTAGATAATTAATCAAAAATTTAACTAATACTCTAGTACTAAATACTCTGCAAAGAAAAAACCGCATTTAATTAAATTTAATAAATTGTTGGTACATACCGTTGCTTATGCTTCTGGTGAGTCTTCTTTAAGTTAAGGTTAAGTTCATCTTGAAACCTTCGGCACCTAAAAGAATTTATTTCATTCAATTTTTATTGTTGTCAATAATCTTACATACACTTGCCAGAAAAAGTATGCGTACACACTCAATGCATAACTTTTATGTCAAAAAAGTATATTTACAAATACAAAAAGGACATAAATGATATCGACTTCATTTTTTTTTTATGTTTTAAACAGATTTATTATTAATAATATCACAAGGCTTTCGTAGCTTTAAGAACTTATTTTATAGAAATTAAAAAGCTACAAGTTCATGGGATATGGCACAAGAAAAAGTATGCTTACAAACTGAAAATGGTACTTGTAAAAGCTTATTATGCAGCACAAAGAGTGTTTGATAACTTCAATTCCACCGGATCTATTAAGTCAACACCACGTTCTGGAAGGCCCCAAAAACTGACCGATCGCGAGTAACGGGATGTTTTGAAGACTGTGATGCTGAAACCTGGAATAAGAGTTTTGAAATTGGCCAAAACATTAGACAGAAGTTTAACAAAGAATTACATGAGGATATCATTCGTAAAATTTTAAAAAAGAAACACCTACATGCCCGAATTGCACGGAAGAAACCATTAGAATCGCTAGTGAACAGAAGGAAGCGCTTAGTCTTTGCAACAAAATTTATCCAGGAGCCTCCAGCTTTCTGGAATAAAATTATTTTATATTCCGAAGATGCAGAACTTGCTCTCGTCACAAAAAAAATGTTTATTCCGTGTACCTATGTATGTACATACTTATGTGTATCGCGAATATTAAATTAAAATAACATAAAATGCGTACACTTAGTTGATTACTCGTAGCAAATAATATTGTTAGTATACATAGTTGTAAGTGTAATGCACATTTATTTATATACAGTGGCTCACAGCTTATTTCAACCAGCGTCTATCTGAAACTTCAACGGTCTGTAAAGCTGAACTAAGAATTTGATCAAAAAAATTTAAACGCAACATATTTCTTGTATGTTTCATGATATTAGTTACTAACTTATTTTCTTTTTTATTATTTCGGTAGTATTTTTAAGAAATAATAATAAAAATTTAACTTAAAACAAAGCAACAGCTTATTTCAAACCAGCTGCTTTAAAACTTTGCAATGAATGTTCCGTTACTTCTCAAAGTAGCGGTTTTTTTTCCGTCTATTTTCATGCCCTTATATTTGCTGTGCAGTCAAGTTTGATTTTATACAGTTCTCTGCAAAAGATCGTTCCAAAAAATCATTTGGTAGTATGGGTCCACGTACAACAATAGAACAGCGAGAGTTTGTATTAAAACTTTTAAAAATTGACATTCGCGGAGGAAAATTGCAGAAATGGTTTCGCTGAGTGATTCTATAGTCCAAAGCATCATTTATCGTTTCTTACGAGAAAAGGAAGGAATGCTCCCAACAACATTTTTAATCAAACGGACGAGCGCCATATCGTCCGGAAAATACGGGAAAATCCCATGTTATCGGCTCCGAAAATTGCCAACGAAATAGAAGCCGAGTTAGGAAACGATTCGGCGTGTGCTCCGTGAGCATAATTTAAATGATAGAATTGCACGGAAGAAACCATTTATAAGTGCTAAAAACATGAAGGCACGTTTAAACTTTGCTAAAAAGCATTTAAACAAGGATTCAGCTTTTTAGAACACAGTTGTATTCGCTGATGAGTCCAAGTTCAATATTTTTGGCTCAGATGGAGCATCATATGTGTGGCGAAAGTCAAATATAGAGCTCCAAGCCAAAAATTTAAAAGCCACAGTAAAGTACGGCGGTGGCAGCGTCATGGCTTGGGCCTATATGTCGGCAGCTGGACTTGGGAAGCTCGAATTTATTGAGACAACGATGGATACAATTCGATATATTTTGATATATATCCATATTTTTAAGTCAAATTTATTGGATAGTGCGGAAAAACTGGGCATACGGCACAATTTTCGCTTTTATCAACACAATGACCCAAGACATATGTAATTCAGGCATTGTGCAAACCTGGCTAGTGTGGAATTGTCCCAATTTAATGCACAGTCGCCAGACATGAATGTTATAGAGAATTTGCGGGCAATTTTAGATACAAGCTTCCGGAAACGCCAAATTTCCAATAAATCTGACCTAAGAGTAGCTTTGGTAGAGGAATGGTCTAAAATCACCCCAGAACTCACCCAAAAATTAGTAGATTCCATGCCGAAAAGGCTTAAAATGGTTATTAACAACAAGGAAGGTTACACAAAATACTAAACAAAATTGTATAGTCTTAAGCATAAGATCATATACTAATGTTACAAACTGGTTGAAATAAGCTATACAGTGGCTGTGAGCCATTACTTCTCGTTTTCGCAACTGTTTATAAATAATATATGAATAGCATTCAGAAAACTGGTTAATTCTGGGCTGAAGTTTTAAATTATATGGATGATTGATTACCAACTCTGACAACTAAATTTCTAAACCGCCCAAAACCATCACTCCCACAATTTTGAAAAATGTGATATTTTTTCGAATATATCTTGTAAAATTCTATATTTGCCACGCCCACTTTAACTCCCACAATGCGACAAAAACTGTCACGCTCACGATTTTTAAAAATGTTTTTATATTTTTTTCATTTTTGAAGATATCTCGTTAATTCCTATAGATTTGCCAAAAAACTTTTTGCCACGGTCACACTTTAAAAAAAAAAATTTTATTTTTTTCTTTTCTGATTTTATCTTGTTTTAGTTTCTAAATTCTAAATACTAAATTCTTGTTTTAGTATCGAAATTTTTCATCATGCATATGCATAGGTTTTGAAAGCGAACAACAAAACGTGCAAGCGCGTGAGAGCAAGAGAGCGAAAGAGGCAAGCGTAGATGCTCCCGCATCTTTTCTGCATAGATAACGAACGAAATTATTGCACATCTGGGGTTCCATAGAGCCTAATTTAATCTTCCAAGTACAATTAAGAAATTTAGGAACTTCTAACGGCCGCGACTTTATTGGTTATAAAGTAATATTATTCATTATACAACAGTTTTTTGATATAACAAGATTTCGATTTTAATTTGATCACAAACGGACAACAATATCATTTAGCTGTCGTTATAAAATTTGTACAATTTAATGAAAATAATAGAAAAGTAATCACAACTAAAAATAAGATTTAAGCACAAAAATTGTACTAATGACCAAATAAACATCTTGCAGGAATGAAAAGTTTTATACTTGTTGCGACGAACCATACTTGGACATCACATTTAATATAACAATGAGAAGGAAGACCCTTTTTTATACTGTTAATATAATAATTCCGTGTATGGGAATATCCTTTTTAACTGTATTGACATTTTACCTTCCATCGGATAGTGGAGAGAAGGTAATTAACAATCTATTCATATATTCCTTTTAAAATTAAAATATATATATTTTTTTTTTTTTGTTTCAGGTCACACTGTCTATTTCCATTCTTATTAGTCTCCACGTGTTCTTTCTATTGGTGGTTGAAATTATACCGCCGACGTCATTGGTTGTTCCGTTGCTGGGAAAATACCTTATATTTGCCATGATACTTGTGTCTATCAGGTAATGTTGAATTATATTGTAAATAAAAATTCAGGTAATATTTTTTAAATTCTTTAAAGTATCTGCGTGACGGTTGTTGTTTTGAACGTTCATTTTCGTTCACCTCAAACTCATAAAATGGCACCCTGGGTTAAGCGCGTCTTTATTGACTTTTTGCCAGCGTTTTTATTCATTAAAAGGCCGACGTACAACTTCGAAACAAGGTGAGAAATTATATTAAACAAATTTACAAAGATCACAAGTTATGTATAAAAAAAAAATATGAAATCTAAAATGTTGAGATTAAGCATTCAGCTTCCAGAGTCATAGACGTAGCGCAAGTTTATTTTTAAATGTTGCCACGACCACTCTAACTCCCACAAACCGCACAAAACTGTTACGCCCACACTTTTGAAAAATGTGAAATTATTTCATTTTTGAATTATTTTGTAAATTTATATAGATTTGCCAAAAAACTTATTGCTACGCCCACTCTAACGCCCACAAACCTCACATAACTCTCACGACCACACTTGAAAACAGTTTTCGAAGGTTTTTTCCATTTTCCAATTTTTACCGATATTCCAGATTTATTATTTAATTTACGTTTAATCAGCATTTATTCGTTTCCTCTGCTTCGCCACGGATGGACTTCATTGTCTTTAAAGTATGCTTGTATTTTATATTTTTAGTAGTTATGGTATCCGGGAAATCGATTAAATCTCTAAAATCTATTAATCTCTTGCCAAACTCTTTAATACTCGTTCTCTGAATTTATTAATTTTTATCTTTCCTCACAGCTTGCAATATATTATATTTTATACTAGTTTTTAATAAATATTATTATAAAAATGTGTGTATATTTATATTGTTGGTATGCCCCGTCTTTTTTGGAGAAGACAACAAAACAAATGGGAAAAGAAAAAAAAAAAAAAAAAAAAAAAACCTTTTCTTAAGCTGTTTAATATCGAAGATTCGATATCAAGTTGACATACGCTTACTATTCGAAACCCCTTTTTTTTGTCATCATTCAAACAGAGTACCGGATACATTCGAATATAATAACTTTAAAATGTTTGCTTCACCGGCTAGAATACGTAAAATTTTCAAAATCTAAATTTTCGCATTTTCTCCTGAACTTCTACTATTTACAAATAATGTTAAATTTCACAATAATTTAAATTCTTTTTTTTTCAGTAAATTACTTTTAAAGGACACACATGCTTGCTTTTATCCTTATTATTCTGCGACAAATATTGATCGACTCGTGTCTTCAGGATACAATAATGGTCTACCAAAGGAAGAATTATCGCAAAGGAAAGTATTACTTATTTGATTTTTAGTTACAGTACTGCTAGTACTATCAGTATAGTAGTATCATTACTTGTGGCATATAAAACGACTTGGTGGAGGATATTTAACTTGCGTTTACCCGTACTAATTTCCTCGCTATTGCCGAGTTCCACGACAGTAAGATACCCCCTTTCAGATCTTCATAACCCTATATTACATCTCTCTATAAATATGTGTTCTAAATGAGAAAAGTAACAGCACTGGATTGCGAAGAAATTATCGCAAATATGTTCCACATCTTGTGTTGGGTGGTTATGACTGGATGTCAAGCCCTTTTTACGTTCCGGGGATACGATACAAGACATGCCTAGCTTGGTGGATCGTAGCACTTATCACAACTTGGGTGCAACTTCGAATTCGAGAAGCATTTACCTTTAACTTACGGTGTATGATTTCAAAGGACCATATATATCCCATTTTCCCGAGATAATACCGAAAATGTTTGTGGTCAAGAAACTTTTTTTTTTATCTTCTTACTAGCTCCATAATGAGTGCTACTGCTCACTACAATATTCTTTTTATTCTTTTGCAGCATCGATCTATAATACCTTAAGCTGTTGCTGATCGCAGTATTTCTTAAACAAATATGAAGTGAAGAGAGCACCACGATCTGATACGATTTCGAATGGACTTCCAGAATTTACCGCCTCTCTTTCTAAGGAACTTATTATTGACTAAATGCACTTAACATATCTTCCAGCTATTTTGTGGTATAACTTTGGAATTCGATTTCTCCACAAAGTTCTTATCTTATCCGATAACTTACCTTGCCTATGAGCTCTAAATGTTCTTAGTTTCTTCAGACTGTCCTGATCCATTAATAGTCCTGTTCCAACTGGACTTTATCGAGCGGTATTAATTTTAATTACGTAGAACCCATCTATATGCCTAATTTATGTACGGGATGAATATTCTTCTTCGTAATAATAGTCTTCTGAAAAAATAGCCTACCCAGAAACTAGCACGGAAATTTTTTTCTACGTCTGGGCAAACGCGTTACAATATGTGACGACTTTGAAAGTTTCCAGGACAATTACACAGCAACTGTCAACGCTGCACTTTTGTGCTGAGTACAATTAGTCGTATTTTTCCTAACACGGTTTATTTTTTCGACTCATACACATGAAGGAATGTAACTGCTGGCTATCGGCAGAAGCCTTTTGACACTGGTTGGCAAGAATTTCTGCACGACAACCTCTACAGCTATTTTCATATCTTCTTCAAAGTATTTGATTGAAACTACATATATTGATGACCATTTTGGAAATTTGTACTAAACAAACAGTTAAAATTCCTGTTTGTTAGGTACAACGTTTTGAAAATGTCAATTTACATTTACTAGCTGTCCATTTCTACCGTTGGATACCGTTTATACCGTTATACATATATCACTCAAAATATTCTTGTTTAACCAGCGATAGTCGCAACACAAACGTTGTTTTCCATTCGTCTTTGATACAATTGGCTTGATAACCTTTTGGCCACGTGATTTGAATGGTATTCACGAACCTGATCGTCTACTACCTTCTGCTCAGTAAATATCGTAAGATATACGCAGAGTGTGCATGTCGACCACTTCTTCCCGGCTTGTACACATATTTCTTACGTTTTCCAACGCTACGATGTGAGTGTGCCAATGCGAAAACTCTTTGTCAGGCTAGGTAACTCCCTGACTGATATTGTGCACAGAGGATGCATCAGATCCGAATTTTTTCTGATCACTTCGATATATTCATAATCATAATCAGCAAGCAGTCTTCGCTAAACCACTTTATTCCTTCCATCTCTGCTTTATTCTGTTAATTTTCAAGTCCTATAATGTTGTATACTTATACATTAAGGAAATGGTACATTGTGCTGCTTACATTGTGATAAAACAATGCAAAACTTGGCTATACGTAAGATTTCGATTTTGTAAACGTTAAATTATAAAAATCCTCCAGGTCCGTCTTCTCTTACGCTGTCTCTTGGTGCAGACAATTGCTTTTCGCCAAATTGTTTAAATTTCCAACTCTAAAAATTCTTCTGTCATTTGTACTGCTTTCCCACCAAAACAGCTTTTTGTCCAGTCACTACGATACCAGTCACCGATACCACTTCAGATTGACAAGCTCGCTCCTGTCCAGAATTTCTATCGAGACAAGTTGCGTTACCTAAACTGCTTCGGACAATTCTTCTCTTTGATCACTGACACCTTCCCAGATCATTTTAAGCTTACTACCAAAGCTTATCCCAAAGGTTTATCTACTTTTCAACAAACAAATTAGTTAAGTGACTGTAATTGATAAATATCAATCTCTGCGCAACCGGCATACCAATGCCGATTAGTTAACTTTTTTCGGGTGACTTTTTTAAAGTTAAATACTTCAATTGTATCTGTTAAAATCAAATTTCTATATTTTTCAACAATTTTCTTGTTTTTCCACTTGTTTATTGTGAAAAATGGTTTAGTTTTAATTCCTTCAAAGAGCCACCAAATATTCTAGTCAAATATTGTTTTTTCTTTCCCAAAAATTAATATCTTTATTAATTAAATAAATTTGACTTACAGTTCGTATTCGGTAAATTGTTATCAAAATATTTTTATTTTAGCATTACGGCGAATGGACCATTTGGAGGAAGCTGTCAGGTACATGGCCCAGTGCCGCCACTCACGCATTGTAGTTCAGACGAAATAGCCGCCGTCCCCGATATGGATATAGGTTCTTTAGGGATGAAAAGTCCCATTTTAAACAATCCAGCATTTTCCCATTCCAAATGCCTTCCAAAAATTCACAAAAGCTGTTTTTGTGTGCGCTTTATAGCAGAGCATACAAAAATGCAAGAGGACTCAACTAAAGTAAGTTAAATATTATTATTTGTTAAACTGCTTACCGGTAATAAAAAGTATAAAAATAAGTAAGACTAGCAAATCACTTTAAAATGCTAAAGTCGAGCTCCCGACTATCAAATAGCCGTTACTCAGCTAGTCCCAAAAAAAATTTGGCATTTTTCGTTCGCTTACCACTAGCTGAGTAACGGGTATTTCATAGTCTAGAAACCCGACTATAGCCTTCTCTCTTGTTTTTTCTTTTTAACTTTTCCGATTACCATAAAAGCTAAATCTAAAAAAAAATCTAAAAATCAAAAAATCTAAATTCATACGGACGGACAGCCGGACATGGCCAGATAGAATCGGCTAGTGATCCTGATAAATACATACATGTTACTTACTTTTCAACAAACTAAAATACTCTACGAATATCGGGTATACTTAAGGTGCCAGTGTGTATAAAACTCCTTAGAAATGACCAGACCACTATACTTCGAAAAACTAAAATGTAGCCTCTTACGTTGCAAGCTAACTACTTTTGATAGCTTTTCCTTCCCATCCCATTTTATTGTCTTCAAAGACCTGGTTGAAAGATGAATGCTCCCTACTATAGGATCTTCGACGTGTTAATTTCCCTCCACAAAAAGGCAACAGATTTGGTTATAAGAAATTTTCGGAATCTCTAAATTTTCAAAACGATCACTTTTCACTTTCCGCATTTTTGTAGGTCAACTTTATCACCATGTCAAAACGTTTTTACAAAACGGTTTTTGAAGCTTACTTGACTTGTTAGGAAAAACTTTAAAAATAACTTTCAAACGGATGTTTTCTACTTCTAATGTTCTACATTGTCTTCAGTAAGACGGGTTTTTGTATAGCTGAATTAGTTATTATTTAATGTTGTGGAGGATACATTCACTTAAGGTATACTGTTAATAGTTGTGAGGTGAACATTCACTTGATGAAGGTGCCATTTATGAGTTGTGTTTCTTTATTCAGCCCGTGATAAGATACAGTGGGTGTCTTCTTCTCATGCGTCTTACTGTTTGACCATTGTCTTGGAGATGGACTGCCTGGGGGTTTGCGTGGTTTTCCAGCTTGCTCGCGTATTTCGCGCTCAATCTTCGCTCAATCGCGCTAGTTCGTTCGATTCCTGAGTATGGATCACCTTCTTCGTATCCCCAAAATAATGCTCATTCGAATCTGGAATCGAATATGGAATCGGTACAATGAAACGCTTAAACTTTTTTTACTGTAGTTCCCTCCCTTATTGCAATAGCTAAAAATATGCGCAGATTTATATTGTGAAAAGAGCACGCGATTGACCTTCGATTGTGTTTGATTACTGGGAAATCTACCAATTCCACCCATTTTTGTTTCAAGAGGTCTATTTTGTTGAAGTCGAGATAAATCCACATTGAAGAAGATTAAGGGATTTGGCAGCTGACTGCTATGGAGTCTCCTCTTCGGCAAGCCGGCCAAGCTAAAAATTCAACAATTTACTTGCGCTTGCAGATATGCTTCATCGAAATTAATGGTTCTGTAGTGTAATGAACTGTTCGTTGGCGCTGGTAGCAAAGTGAGTTTGTGCGTTCGTCCAACAGTAGTCGCACTCACTATCAAACCTAAATTCTTCTTTTGGGAACGCTTTTGTCGGAGGACACCAAACAAGCCAGCAGGGTGCTGGCTCTTCTCCTAATCTAAATAAAGACTTAGTCTGAATGGTACACTCATTAACTGCGGACTGTTTGGTACTGGCACTGGTCTCGGCTATCCATTCATTTCCGGTTAATTCACGGTTCTTCCTCTTTATGCTCCTGCAAGTCCGCAATGTACCGTAAGAATTCGCTTTTGGCCAGCAAGAGTCCTATTATAGCGCGACACCGATATCTTACGACCTCTATGCTTTTCTGGGTTACAATGTACATTATTACCCGGCTTACTCGACTCTTCAGCTATTGCTAACCGCTACACTCCTGCACCTAGGTTTGTGTCCTCACAAAAAAATTTTTTTTTTAATTATTTACATATACTTGCCAAATAACATATTATACCTTTTCTTTATAAAAGTAGATTTTAAACTGACACGCGAAACACGAATCGAAAAAGGGAACGATGTAATTGTTTTGTAATACCCTATTTAAGAGTTTTTCAGTTTACATTTACACTTCCAGAAGTCTAGATATTAACAAAATAAATGTTTACGGTCATGAAAAAGCACAGTTGAACGACAGTGGGCGACCGCAAACGCAAACCTTATTTGCGTGGTCACCACAGTTTTATCAGTACGGCTTATGTCAGAGGCTTCTTTGTAATCTTTTTAATTGGAGGCCTTGTTATTGGGAGCACTTGGTTACGTGGCCTTGGGTTGCCCTTTGTATATACTACTGGAAGACAGTTTGCTTCTTTTTCTCTATTACATACCTTATGGAAGGAATCCTTAATATCTTCAAATCAACCAAGATTGATCCAAATATGAAAATCGTAAGATGCGTGTCTGAATAGGACTCCAAAGCATTAAATAAAAACCTAATTTTAACTATAACTATTAAGTTTCTTTTTTTTATATAAATTATATCAAGAAATCATGATATACGTAGATGTCTCCAGTTTTAAATTATTTGTAAGACCTTAAATATGCCATAAAATTTTTAACTGTTTCCATTTTCTATTTTCATTTAAAAAAGGTTAAAGAGGATTGGAAATACGTTGCCATGGTGTTGGATAGACTTTTTTTGTGGATATTTACGTTGGCAGTTGTAGTTGGGACCGCCGGAATAATTTTACAGGCTCCTACGTTATATGACGACCGCATCCCAATTATTGAGCAAAAGGACCTGGACTTCTCGGGAACATCAGCCGGACGCTGTAGACCTCCGCAATAACATTATCATATTGGAGGAATTTAATTTAAAGCGAAGGTGTATCATATTAGTATTATATTATTATTTTAAAATACTATTTTCAGCAAGAAACCATGTTAACACACATACATATATGTTTTGAAGGCTTTAAGTAACAAGTTTAGTATTCTATATTTTCGACCACATTTAGATATTCCAATCTGTGCTATTGGGTGGTTCACTAAATACTTCGGTTTTTTTGTAAATGTAAATGAACACGTTATACACATTTATTCCTATTAGCCAGCACTTGGGATTTTATTCAAGGAATTATTTGAATCGGCATCAAGAAATTTAAGAATCAAATTTTAACATTTTAATATTAAAACAGAAATGCTGTTTTTGATGTTGCATATACGAAAGAGCGCACAATAAAACTATTCCAAAAAAGTGTTCAGCTTTTCAAATATACATACATACAACCGAAAAGCGGTTTAGTGAAAAGTTAGCTGCGAAAAAGTGCGTTACTCGAGTATACTAGATTCGTTGTAACAGCGTTGTACAGGTAGAAGAAAACTGTTTCTACCCCATAAAGTATATTAATTCTCAATCAGAACCCCTAGGCGAGACGGTCTGGCCATGTCCGTCCGTCACTCTGTTTAATGTCGAGATGTCGCAGCCCTAGTTTGTTTTAGATTCTTGCCACGCCCACTCTAACATTTCGAAACAAACTGTCTAGCTTTATCTACGTATCTTTTAGAACGAAGTCCACTGAGCGATATACAGTCGGATGTCGACTACCCCATGCAAATTACAAAAAGACTGGCCATGTCCGTATGTAGTCAGTCCGTCTAACCTTATGATCGTCGAGATCTAGGGAAGTATAAAAACTAGAAGGTTGAGATCAAGCATGCATATTCTAGTAACTCTTACACAGAACAGAAACAGCCACGCCCACATTTTGAACATTTTACATTTTTTTTCATTTTAGTACTTGTGTTGTTAATTTGTATCGATTTGTCAAAAACGTTTTTGCCACGCATGCACTAACGCCCAAACAGCGCCCAAAACTGCCACGCCCACACTTTTGAAAAAGGTTTTTTTTTTTTTTTTTCATTTTATTATTTTTCTTTTGATAATCGATATGCTCAAAAGTTTTGAAATTTTTTGAGTAACGGGTATATGAAAGCATTGGTGCTCGACTATACCGTTCTCCCTTGCATACATTATAATTTTTATCATGGCAATTATTAACGATATGCCCCGCAAATTACAATTACAAGAAAAGTAATCCCTCGGGTTGCGCTTGTAAGCAATTTCGAAAAATGTCTTATTTTTTTCTTGTGACCGCACTTTAGCGGTTCCGGATTTGATCTATTTGCTGGATTGCTCTTCTGGATTGCTACAAAAAAGCAAACGCTTCTCACGTATAAACGTCCGAAAGAAACCTCCTAGAATACACAATTGTTGTCATAGGAGAAAACAGCAACCATTAAATAAATGGATGGGCAAGGTTAAAGAGCCGCCGAGCCATGGTAGTATACATATACATTTTGACATTTTAGTTTTAATTTGATCTAATTTAAAATAATTTGAACATAAAACCCACGGAAAAAGCGAAATAAAGGTATTTTGCTATATCTAAATGGCGTTGAGTAATACAGTCAAAATAACCCTTAAGCAAACAGAATAGAAATGAATCGCAAATTTTAAAAATAGAATGTTTTACATTTTAAAATGTTTAAGGAAATTATAAAAAGTTCACTTACCTCCCATTTTACCCAAAAGAATTATTGAACGCACTAAATATAGTATAATTATACAGAAGATTTTAGTTCACCACTGATCCTAATTCAAATTAAAATTGTTATGAAAATGTTAAATTTTAAACTATATTGTCTATGCCTTAAGATGTATTTCATTCTGTTTTAAAAATATGTATAATTTAATTATAAATTAATTTGTAAAATAGGTATAAATTAATTAACTTAATACATTATGTTTTTAATTTAATTTACTATAATTTATAATTTAAAAAAATACTTTTTACTGCTTTTTATAACAAAATCTTGCTCACACATTCAAGAAAGATTTGTATCCGCATAAATCAACACTGTTTGTTCTGGTGGTACTTAAAAATAATGAAGTATGTATCAAAAATTAGCGCGAAAAAATGTGAAATAGAAAGTTAACATTTTAGCATATAGGAATACAACTATTAAAATGAATTTAAATGTATGAATTTGTTACAAAATAAAGTTGATTTATAACAGCAAAAGCATTTTTAATATTTTTTTTGTTAGGTAATGTGTATATGCATTTTCTGTCAGTAGGGTAAGTGAATAAAATATTTTAAAATATTAAATAATAATAGTATTCCATAAATTTGTTGTATTTAAAAGAACTAAATCATCTTCCGCGTTCAAGAACTTAATGTCTTCAATCTAGTAATAATGGCTCAAGACAACCAACCTCAAGACGTAACAACCTTGCAATCTGTTCTACAGTTCATCTGACGATGCCGAGCATCCACATTTGTGGAAAATGTTGAGAAAATTGTCTTCTCTGACGAGTACGACGGCTCCAGCTTAAAGATTTTCTAATTGCTCTATCCATGTCGCCCTTGTTGCAAGCCAGTTATGTTATCTCGTAGCCAATTCCGCTGTCCTGTGCCGCTGAAGTCAATGCAGCGAGAGTTGTGCCTACGAGAAAACGGGCCGGTATGACGCTCTTGCCATCGTTAGGGTTACTGCCATCAGCGACCAGTGGGCGTGAGTTGAGCACCGCTTGGACAAGCACTATCTTTGATCAAAATGAGTTTACAGCAGATCTGACTAAAGATTTCCGAAGTGGGGTGACCGTGGAATATAAATACAAATACTGGGCAGGGAGCTCCTACGCAGTTACAAGTCTTCTTGCTCAAACCTAGGTTAGTGTTGATCTCGTGCAGCATTCTTGCTGAACCCACAAAATGTGTTGCGTTGTCGAAGTATAGTTTGTCGAGTGGCCCACCGCGCTCAATAAATCTCCTAATTCATCAAGGATATGAATTAGAAGTAAAGTCATTTGAAAGTTTTAAGTGTATGGCCTTTGCAGAAAAGTATATGAAGAAGTGAGTTTTCCTAATGTTTCCATGCTAAAAAGGGGTTAAGCTTTTGGTGTAAATTTTGCAGGCAAATTTTCTACTTGGATCACTTTGACGGTTGAGGCTGTTCACAGAATCCACTGTTGGACGTTTGTAAAGCAAAAGAGAAGTGCGACGATTGTTATAACATTCAAATGTGATAAAGAGTTTGTGAGGAGTTAAAATTCCGCACAAATGCAGATGACAACTGCGGAAGGAGGGCCTGCCTGTTGTTAGTTACGCAAAAGCTCAGCGCGTAGTAACGGCAGTGTGAGGAGAGTTTGGAGAAGCAGAGTCTGGCGATCGATTAGAGAACGAAAGTTGGGAGGAACAGAGTTAGGAGAAAGAGAATGTGGAGAGCGAGAGTGAGACGGCACGAATTAGAGTAGGAGAACAGAAGAAGTAACGGAGCCGTGAAAGTCAACAAGGAGCAAGAATGCTACGTCGAGACGTTCGGTATGAAGCAAGTCGCCGAATTGAGACACATGTAGCTGAGATCCAGTAAAAGAAAGCACGGCTAGGTTGAGACGCCTTGCTATACCACGAATCGAGACCAGACACTGGCGTTGGCCCGGTGAGTTCAAAATTTCTTTAACAGGCGGGATCAATCCTAGCAAGCACCGTCACCGTGTGCGTGACGGGATTGTAGTGAGGACCCGGTCGACAGTTTAGGAGTTTGCGTAACGTAATCCGGGTGGTTGCCCGGATCGTTCGTAAGATCCGAGTCGTGGTACCGGCGTGACCGGTCAAAGCAGACGTTGGGTTAACTTGTTGTTTCGCCCAGCGGTTATTGAAAAGACGCAGCCGTTAGCTACCTTGAGTCCGTGTACGTCAGCAATTCCAACGAGCAATTCGACGAGCAAGCCAATCTGGAGCAGTATTGGTGATTCGACGTGTATGGATAGAGAAGTTGAAGAAGGAGTTTGTCAATCTAGAGTGGTATTGGTGACGCGGTTTTGCTGAACAGGAGAAGAGCGAGTTCGTCATTTTGGGAGCAGTGTTGGTGAGACAGCGAGATCAAATATCTATTTTTGAATTGACAAGACACAGTTCTAACATTGGAGAGTAATGGAAAATTTAACGATTTGGCAGGAAGCGATTGACAGCGCAAAATAAAACGTAACAAGATAATTGTTTAAGCGGATTAATATTACGAATTTGTGCTATTGTGTTAACAGAAGTTAAATCTTACGTAGTGTTGAGTTTATCATTATTTATTTGTGGAGTTAAACTGTTCTGTGGGCCGAGAGTCATATTTAATATAAACTGATATATCTGATATTATAATCTTATTCTTTAGAACTAGATTTAAGTTTAAAAATGAATAGGCTATAGATTTTGCACTGCTAGTTGAACATTTATTCGAAAAATTAACAGAAATAGGACTAAGCAGATATGGAAGAAACATGAATTACAAAACAGACTGCTTTGATAATAATAGTGGAGATGATGATCTTTTTCATCCGAAAAATTTAATAATATGCAGGCTGATCAAAATGGTGAAATTTCGTACAGATACAAGGCAAGACAACGCCAACAAAAGTCTTTACGTCCTCAGGTCTAGTGTTAAAGTACATTGTATTCGGAAAAGTAATTTTCAGGATACTGGATCAGATCTTTGTTAGCTACGAAGCAGCATTTATTTGAAGCTTGGTAAAGGAAACCTCATGGTAGGCGAAAAATGTTTGAATCGGAGAAAGTCAAATCGTAACTTTCGGAAGCATAACAATTCCAGTTAAAATAGAAGGCATAGATCTCAAAGTAGAAGACATGAAATTTGATGCGATCTCTTATATTACTCTTATATTACTGGTATACATGAAAATCACGAAAGATAGTTTATCTTTGTATGGTGGAGGGACGGAGCAGAATGATTTCTGGACCGTATCCACAATTTATTTGCCTCTGATTACAAGGGTATGTAATATATAGGTACAAGAATTTACATGTATGAAGTTAACATTGTGGAGGTGAGTTTTGGAGTTGGACAATAATGTTAGTAAATAGGTGAGTATGCTAGGTTAGTATTTGTCTTCTGTGTGTACATTGGCATGAACTGGTAACATTATATTGCTTGTTTGTTTACATTGCTGGTGTTACATAGACTTTACAAAGAATTAAAAATTGTGTTTTTTGTTCATTGTTTCAGACACCCCCGCCTGAAGGACGGAAGCGCCGAGTTGCTGGTGGCTTCGTGGGTCATCGCCGGGAGAAATAAGTGCTTCCCTCGCCTCGGTCAATCCCTGGGTGCTGTTTGAAGCTCCGCGTCTTGTGGCCATTTCGCCTGGAGTGGCTTCTTGGAGCCGTCGGCCCAGGCTCCGATGTCGTGGGCCGCCGCAGCAGTAAATGGGAGCCCGTGCTACAGGAGGACCCGATTTCCTGCTGCCACGAATTTCCTGTGGATCGTGTCCCCACAGTGAGACCCTGAGCGCTGTCTGGGCCGCTGCATTACGTGGCCGCCGCGCCGGGAGCGGTAGCTTGGAGCCGCCAGACCAGGAATTACTTGACGTGGGCCGCGGCATCGGCAGGATGTGAAGTGCATGCAAACAAATTGAGTGAGTATTATTTATTATTATTTGCGGGTATTTTGATTGTCGTTTTAAATTTCTTTCTTTTTAGCAAGTGGTGGCTGTGCATAGGAATTGAAATTAGTCGTCACACCGCCCAAGGCCATGGAAAGGATGAGCTTGGAATTAGATAAGTGTCTGTTATGTATCTAATTTGTTTGTTGACTGATTTGAGTTCTTTTTTCTAGTTTTTCACTCATTATCCTGTGGCAGGGAACTCGACCTGGATGAGTTCCTTGCAGCATGCTGTCGCCAGGATGCCGCGATCTAATCGAGCAGGGCCCGGCGAGCAGAGTCGTGCAGTGGGAGCTCAGATTCCTGTGTGAGTAGAAAAAGTAAGTTGTTTACCGCCGGCAAGAGGGTTGGTTTAGGGCCTTTTAGAGTGTCTTGCGGCAAGTTTTCAGGAAGGCCACCTTAAGTTTGCGGGTGTTTTGATTTAGATTTTAATTTTATGTTTTCTTTTCGTTTTAGGTCCACAGGAAAAAAAGATAAATATACTGTTTTAGCCTTGATGGTTGGAAGTGCATGCAAACAAATTGGGTGAGTATTATTTAAAATTATTTGCGGGTGTCTTGATTATCGTTTTAAGTTCCTTTCTTTTTAGCAAGTTATTTAATATATGATTTAATTGTGCCAAGTTTGTTTTGTTGCTTGATGTATAAGTTTTTATTTTTCAGGCTTCATCTTATGTTAGGGAACTGGTCCTGGAATCCCATTCAGTCCGCTGTCGTCAGGGAGCCGCGATCTTAGCATGCAGAAACGGACGAGGAGAGTCTTGCCGGAAAGATGCAGGAAAGTGCAATTTGGGTGGCTGATATATTTGGTGAGTATTCTGGTCAACTTTACAGGTCACAGAGCTCATTTTATTTTTGCAGGCCAAAAGTTAAACATGCCAATGGTGCGCTGGGCAGGTAGAGGATTTTGAGTTTGCGGGTGTTTTGCATTTTATTTTAATTTTTATTTTCTTTACTTTTCAGGTCTACTGGAAAGGGAATGACTGCAATGTTGGAGATTGGCTGTTGACTCCATAGTCTCATAGGCAGCGGAGAGGGAAAAGATAAGTGTATTATATTGTGTGACAATTATATTCTTTACTGAATTGAGCTTTTTTGTTTGTTTTGGTTTTCAGGTTTAATTCTATGGCAAGGAAATCTACCTGGGGAGATGAATTCCTGCCTGCTGCAGCCGAGATGCCCAATCTTGGAAAAACATGGCCGGACTGGGGAGCCTTGTCGTTGTGGTGCCGTGTGTTGTTTAATGCAGGCGGGAATGTGGCATTTAGAAGGATATGGTCGGAGCATCTTTCAGCAGCCGCGATCGTCTGGATAGTTTACTTTATTTTACCTCCTTTGTATTATAGATCTAAATTGTTTGAGAATTTTTTATTAAATAATTGTTAATTTCAAATGCATTTGTTGGCTTATTTAGGATGAGTTAGTAGAGAATTGTATTCATTGTGTTTTAGGAGATATCTTTCTGCTGCCGCATGGCAAACAACCACGGGCAGGGGTGTAAGTTTGTGGCCAGAGATGTTATGCATTTTGGGCGCTTTTTTTGGCGTTCCGTAGACATGTGTAAGTAATATAAGTGTCCGACCCAGAGTTGTCCCGCGCCGCAGTCCAATGGGAGAGGGGTGGTGACTTCTGTCTCGGCTGTGACCGGCTTCTCGGTCGGGGAAGAGGAGCGGAGATATTCTCTGCTAGAGGTGCGCAGGCGATCCGCTGCGCAGCTCAGTTCTGGAAGGTAAATATATGATGGGAGAACTTTCTCCGTTATTGCCTGCCCTTAAGGCTAGACAACCAATATATAAGAAATACGGCGAAGGCCGGAGTATGCTTCTGAGCGTGCGCTCTTTATTGTGAATGAAATCAAACTGAACTTAAGGCTAACAAAATATGGGACTCATAGCGGCCACTCCAACGGGTAGTGTTTGCCGGCTATGCACGGGCTTCCGGCCAGACGCTGTGTCAGCAGTTTGGCCGGAGCGAGTCTTCGGACGATCGGTCGTAGCCGTCGCCCGGTTAACCTTAGTTAACTACTCCCCCCTCGGAAATAAGGCCGCCCTCGGCCGTCTGTTGTTCAGCGATAACCTGCCTAATTTGGCCTGCGGATTTTCTTGCCTCGGTGAAACGCCTAAAAATGAGCCCGATGCAGATGAGTGCGCAGCATATTGCTCCTGCAATAGTTACTACGAGACGTGTTCGGTGGTTGTCAATCTCTTCTCTGAACTCCTTGATGAACTCCAAGTTTCGTTCACTCAGACGGTGAAGATACGGGAGGCTGAGGACATCTTGGGTAGCGGTGATGTTCAATAAGGGAAGACTTGCTGTCCCTGGAGCTCTCTTCTAGGTGTTATTGTGGTTGATGAAGAGTGTGTCATTTATAGTGGCCTGTTTGTCAAAGGTTATGAGGTGTGTGCCATGAGTCCAGATTTCTGTGCCGTTGTCCACTCGCACTTTGGCAGACCTTTCGTTGATGATAATGATGCCTTCATCTACGTAGGTTATCGGATGCAGGTCACTTTCTTGTACTCGGCAGTGTGCTACCCCACCGGCGTGCAGTTCTTTGGCGCACGAACTCTCTGAAGCTAGGCGGCAGAATGTGGCTCTCGGTGATTCGGAGCAGTTTTTGATGGCGTAAACTTCTCCGCTGCATTCGGCTATGACATTGTCTATGATCTGCAACATCGTTCCACCATGGGCAACTGGGAAAATAGTGATCTTCTTGCAGGCTAATTTAATTTTGGGGAATTTAATGATAAAGTGTAGAACGTTACGGGACTGTAAAATCTTTACAGACGAGACGGACAAAAGATCTCCTATAGGTGTGTCGGTGGGTTCCTCAAGCCAAACTGTTTTTAAGTCTTCGTGATCTAAAATGTTCGGACTAACAATGTTAATCCTGGCTAGGGTTATTGCAAGCATTAAATTTTGTAATTCCGCCATCAACATGCGGTTTCTAGCAAGCAGTGTTTCATATAGGTGTCCAGTGTCTATTTGTGAGGTTTTGGCTGATCTCAAAATTGAATTGACGGTAGAGGTAAGTTGATTAATTTGATTTTGGGTTTTGGTGTTAATTTGGATCTGTCTATTGCTAGACTCGACTAATTTCATTTCGGAAAACCTGATTTTTTCTAAGTCGCTGGCATCCGGTGTCCCTGCTACAACCTTTAGCATAGATCCTAAGAAATCCAAGCTCCTAGCTACTCTGTGATGAACGCCCAACGACTCTAACAAGTCCTGGAGGTGGGCGGTATCCACGCTCAGAAGCTTCTTCATATGGGATAGCGGAAACATGTCTATCATGTTGGTTGTCTCCTCTATTACGCGCCCATAGGACAGGAGTATGCAAAATGTTGGTCCGATCCTGTGGAATTAAACTATAGCTATTTTTATGCTTATAGAGGGTTTTCCCACCACCGATAAAATGAACTTATAGTAAAAAAAACAAAGTGCGCCAAGCGGCTTGAAGGTGAATATAAAAAATAAAGTGCGCCGGATGGCTTGAAGGTGTGATAAAAAATATAATATAAAAAATGAATATAAAAAATGAATAATAAAAAAACCATAAAGGACATTGTAGGTTATATCATTTAAGATTGTCCTTGTGGACCACCCTCCCCTTAATGAGGACCGTGGTCCCCAGGTCCGCTTCTACGGCTCTCTCCTCGCACAAGGGTGTGAGTTTATTTCCCAGCCTTCTATTGGATTTAACCAATACCTTCTCGCCGACTTCGAATACTCTGTGTTGTCGGTAGGCGTTTTCCCTGGTCCTGAGCGTGTTTTGTGCCTTAATGATTCTGTTCCGGACTTCCGTCTGTGGGTCATCTGGGTGCTCCTGCACGATGTCAACTGGTCGTTTGTCAACGACAGAGTGAATTGACTTATTATATTTGGCGGTTGCCAACAAAATAATTTCCACAGTATCGGTTATGCCCTTGTCGATTTTTAGGCAACGAGCAAGCTCCAAAAGGGTGCTATGAAAGCGCTCCACTTGCCCATTTGACACGCTATGGAGTGGCGGTGCATTGGCAATGCTAACGCCAAAGTGATTGTCAAGCATGGTCGAGATAGTATGCGAATTTAATGAAGGTTCATTATCGCAGTAAACTACTCTAGCCCTAGTGAAAAAATTCATAACTGTAGTATGGCCGGTTTAAGGTCTTCGATTGTCCTAGAGTGGACATGTTGCACAATTGCGAACTTCGAAAACTTGTCAATGCAAGTGAGAAAATACTTTTTATCCGTAGAAAAAATGTCGATGTGCAGTAGTTCTCCCACATGAGAGGGGATCGGAGTCTCGCCTAGCTCATGCTTTTTTGGGTGCCTATCGTATTTGGCTTTCGCGCACGTTTTGCAGTTGGCTACGATTTCGGTAGCCAACTTGGTCATCTTCGGAAAGCAGTACTCGGAGAGTACCTGCTTAACGTTTTCTTGGGCCGACCTGTGGGCCCTATTGTGTTCTACGGTAAGAATTTCCCGTCTCTCAGGGACTGCAAAAATATCCGTTACACGGTTTTTGCAGTGCCAAAATTTGGTGGCTGGAAATCTCCGAACCAACTCGTCCTGTATTAGTGCCAGCGTGTGCAGGTCACAATGAATGGCGTTAACGCCCTTCGGAACGATTACATCTGCGAGTTCATCAATCAATGACTCTTTGCAGGGGAAGTTAATCGCATGCCGCCTCTTGTTTCCAAAGAGGACGAAGCTGGGCTTTAACGGAAAGCGTGCCCCCTCCAGAGTTATCTGGTTCTGAAAGCAGTTTAGGGGCTTATCCGTCGTTTTGACAGTGTGCGTCAAGGAGAGCTCGCTGTGAATAGTGGCCACGCACGATTGAGCTTCTTGCTCCTCCATGACGTTAATTTGTTGCCGTGACAATGCATCGGCGACCAAGTTTACTTTGCCGGGTTTGTAGAAAATACGCGCTCCTGATTCATCAATGCGCGCTTTCCACCTTTTAATCTTTGCATTCGGATTGGATTCCGATACTGCAAAAGTTAACGGCTGGTGGTCGCTAAAGATGTTGATGTCTTTAACCGCATACAGGTAATGCCGTAGCTTGGCTAAAGCCCAGACTATGGCTAAGAGTTCCCTCTCGTTGGTGGCGTAGTTAACCACCCTGTCTTTCAATGTCCTTGAGATCATTGTTATTGGGCGTCCCTCTTGGGACAATACTGCGCCAATGCCATGGGCCGAGGCATCTGTCGTTAGATCAAATGCCTTTTTGTAGTCGGGGTACCTTAGCATCACGTCGTCGGATGCCATGATGTTTCGTAGTTTCTGGAACGCTTGTTGCTGCGTCTCCGAGAACTGAACCGGAATGTTTCGTGACCTGTGTCTACTAACTGTTCCGTTTTCCCCTTTTAGGATGTCTGATACAGGCCTTGCTATTGCCGCGAAGTCCTTAATAAAACATCTGTAGTAGCTGGCTAGGCCTAGAAATGACCGTACCTCAAAAACACTTTTGGGTTCCGGAAATTCTTTTATAGCCCTAACCTTTTCTGGGTCTGTTGTAGCACCGTTACAAGTGACTATAAACCCAAGGAAGCTCACACTTTTCTTAAAAAAGTTGGACTTTTCTACTGATACCCTCATGTTCGCATCGTGCAGGCTCTTTAGAACCCAATCTACGTGCTTGATGTGAGAGTTCTCGTCTTCGGAGTAGATAATTACGTCGTCAACGTAAACATAGCAGAACTTGCCGATTTGCTCCCGTAGGATGTCGTCGATTGTCCTCTGAAAAATGCTGCCTGCATTTTTGAGGCCAAACGGTAGTCTGCGAAATTCGTATTTTCCCCCATTCACAGAGAAAGAGGTTTTTTCCCTGTCGCGTTCTGCAAGAATGATTTGGTGATAGCCAGACTTGAGGTCCAGCGTGGAGAAATACTTCGCATTGCCTAGGTTGCTCAATATCATGTTAATATTTGGCATGGGGTATTTATCGGGCACTGTTCTTTCGTTTAGCTTGCGGAAGTCGATAACTAGTCTCATTTTCCGGTTGCCATGGTCATCGGTCCCTTTTTTATCCACAACCCATATCGGGTTGTTGTAAGGGGATGCCGACTTCT